ATCTTTACTATTTGTTTGCTCTGAGTGAGCCAGGGAGTCTCCAGGTAGTATACACCTTCCGCATGGGCAGTGTTCGTGAAGCAGTGGAATGGGGGTTCTGTCGAGTGAAGATATTGTGGTCTTTTGTAAATTGGGACAGGAAAATGAGAGTACGCCAAGCGCTGGTTGGACAGCTATTTATGAAAGCTGCTTTGCTAACAAACTGTCATACCTGTATGCAGCCCCGTGGAAATCAAATTTCAATGTACTTTCGTATGAATCCTCCACGATTAGAACTTTATATCTCTAGCTAAACAAAAAATAACGACTCAAGTTCTAATTCGTTTTATTCATAGCTATTTGCAAAAGCTTGAGCATGAATTCTTGGCTGAAAAGTTCTCGCTGCTGCTCAGCTGCTTCCCGTCGCGACTCTCTATCTTGTTCAGCAGCCATGCGTTTCTCTTCAGGCTCCAGTCTTTTGAGCGAATCTTCCCTCTCAAACTGCAGTCGCTCTCGTAAGTACTCGTACTTGAAGCTGGCGTCACCGATCGAGCGCTCGATGGGTGATACGGTCGAATCAGAGACGGCTCCTAGTTTCTTACGCTTGCTGAAGTTCTGGACACGACGAGCTCCAGATGTCGCTGCTCTCTTCCGGCCGGATACAGGATCTTCTCCTGAGCAGCGGCGACTAGTACTGTCGTCACTTTGCTGCTCGGTCAAATCTCCGCCCACAGCAGCGCTGACGCTGCCATCATCTCCCTGTTCGTCCTCCTCGTCTTCGTCCATCTGGTCCATCTCGCCCATAGACAGCCTCCGCATCAGCTTTCCCGACGTCTCAATGCCTTGGCTCCTCGCTCTTTCCTTGGCTTTTTCTTCATCAGCCAGCTCCTTCCAACTATCCATACGGCTTACGATATCTTGTAGCAGTATGTCGCGTTCTTAGTACTCTTCAGTGGTGCCAGAGGCCCGTACAGAAGATTTCTGTGCCTCGCAGAGCATACGCACTAGCCGATCAAAGCGAGTACGCAGAGCCGGTCCGTCCTTCTTTAAAACCCCGTCAAGAGCGCGGCATTTTTCTGCTATAATCTCAAAGGCCAACATGGTCCCATTTGCTGTGCCCACGGCAGCCTCCCATGGCTTCACTATGTTTGCACAGCGGAGCAAAATAAGATCATCAGTCACTGTAAAGTTTTTACGTACACTGGGAGCAGAGGTTCCGAAAATGTTATTTTTACTGAGACTGGCAAAACAGCAATACAAATAGCTTTAAGTGCTTGGATCACCACGGGTGCGAAAATTATTGGTGTTATTGCATGCAATATACAGTGAACTGATACTCGTCTAGTTGGTGGGAGCCTCACCACGCACAACCTTCCGGACTGTGGCAGCGTTCCAGTAGGCTCGGCTCACCTTGAGGAATAGAATCGACTCCAGGTGCAGCGGGGCCATGCTGTAGCGGTATATTCCCAGCACAGCCTTCGCCTGGCTGGAAAAGCGCTATACAAGGCTAGACGTCGGCGCGAAGCAGGCTACGTGGTCTTTAAAGCGTGGTGCTTTCTCCCGCTGGCGACGTGCCTCCACAAGTATGTCCTTCACAAAATCCTCTCTCGCAGCCTTGGC